TAGTATTAGTAAAGTGAACGGAGATCGTGACGAAAACACTTAGACTACTCCCTTAAAGACCAAAAGTAGAAGTTAAAAAAATAACTTTTTGAATGTTTTGAATGATAATTGTGGGTACAAACGAAAATAAACGTGGTATTTACATAATGCAACTAACCTGTTGCAATCACCGTTGCAATTAATTCCGAAACGATTTAAAGCGACCTGTACCTTTCGTATACGGTAAATTATCTAAGTTCCCAGAAAAAAAAAAAATTTAATACTTGGTTGCATCGTTTTTTTGTAAAATGTTTACTATTTATTATTTTTCTTTCGTTCAAACATATTGATAAGCATAGACATAGATACAGTTATCAATTCAAAATCCAAAAGTAACATTTAAATAAATGAATATAACAAAGTTACTAGTAATATTAGTAGTAGTAATAGTAGAATTTGTAGTATTGTTAGTGGTAGTAATAGTTGTAGTAATAGTAGTAGTAGTAGTAATAGTAATAGTAGTGTTAGTAGTAGTAGTAGTAGTAGTAGTAGTAGAATTTGTAGTATTGTTAGTGGTAGTAATAGTTGTAATAATAGTAGTAGTAGTATTAGCAGTAGTACTATTAGCGGTAATAGTAGTGTTAGTTGTAGTAGAAGTAATAGATGTAGTAGTATTAGTAAAGTGAACAAAGATCGTGACGAAAACCCTTAGATTACTCCATTAAATGCTAAAAGAAGTATTGGAAAAAATAACTTTTTGAATGTTTTGAATGATAATATTAGGTTCAAAGGAAAATAAATGTGGTATTTACATAACGCGACTGACCTGTTGCAACCTCTATAACTATAACACAGTTACTAGTAGTATAGGTAGTACTAGTAGTAGTATGAGTAGTAGTAATAGTAGTGGTAGTAGTAGTAATAGTGTTGGTAGTAGTACTAGTAATGTTAGTAGTAGTAGTAGAATTTGTAGTATTGTTAGTGGTAGTAATAGTTGTAATAATAGTAGTAGTAGTAGTAGTAGTAAAAGTAGTAATAGTAGTGTTAGTAGTTGTAGTAGTATTTTTAGTAGTAATAATAGTATAAAAAGTTGTAGTAGTATAAGTAGTAGTAATAGTAGTAGTAGTAGTGGTAGTAGAAGTAGAATTTGTAGAATTTTTAGTATTGTTAGTCGTAATAATAGTAGTAATAGTAGTAGTAGTTGTAGTAGTAGTATTAGTAGTAGTAGTAGTATCAGTAGTTGTAGTAGAAGTAGTACATGTAGTAGTATTAGTAAAGTGAACGGAGATCGTGACGAAGACTTTTAGACTAATCCCTTAAAGGCCAAAAGAAGAAGAAGAAAAGATACTAGTAGTAGTAGTAGTAGTATTATAAGTAGTAATAGTAATGTTAGTAGTAGTAGTAGTAGTAGTAGTAGTTGTAGTATTAATAAAGTGAACGGAGATCGTGACGAAAACCATTATAGTACTCCCTTAAAGGCTAAAAGAAGTAACGGAAAAAATAACTTTTTGAATGTTTTGATTGATAATATTAGGTACAAACGAAAATAAATGTGGAAAATACATAATGCAACTGACCTGTTGCAATCAGCGTTGAAATTGACTCCGAAACGATTTAAAGCGACCTGTATAACTATAACAAAGTTACTAGTAGTATAAGTAGTAGTAGTAGTAGTATCAGTAGTTGTAATAGAAGTAATAGATGTAGTAGTATTAGTAATTCTAACGGAGATCGTGACGAGGACACTTAGACTACTCCCTTAAAGGCCAAAAGAAGAAGAAGAAAAAATACTAGTAGTAGTAGTAGAATTTGTAATATTGTTAGTGGTAGTAAAAGTTGTAATAATAGTAGTAGTAGTAGTAGTAGTATAGGTAGTAGAAATGGTAGTAGTAGTATTAGTAGTAAAAGTAGTAGTAGTAGTAAAAGTAGTAATAGTAGTAGTATTAGTAGTAGTAATAGTAGTTGTAGTAGTAGTAGTAATAGTAGTGTTAGAAGTAGTAGTAGTAGTGGTAGTAGCAGTAGTAGTAATTTTAGTAGTAATATTAGTAGTTATATTAGTAGTTGTAATAGAAGTCATAGATGTAGTAGTATTAGTAAAGTGAACGGAGATCGTGACGAAGACACTTAGTTAACTCCCTTAAAAGCCAAAAGAAAAAGTAGAATAAATATTTTTTTGAATGTTTTGAACGCTTTGATAATTATAGGTACAAAGAAAAATAAATGTGGTATTAACATAATATAATTGACCTGTTGATTCAGCGTTGTAATTGACTCCGGCGCAATTTAAAGCGACCTGTAACTTTTGTATACATTAAATTGTCAAATTTCCAAGAAAAAAAAAATCTAAAACTTGGTTGAATTGGTTTTTTTTTAACGTTTGCTAATCAATATGTTTTTTCAAAATAAAAATAATAAATAGCTCAGACATAGTTACAGATCTCAGTTCATAATCCACAAGTATCATTAAAATAAATGAATATAACAAAGTTACTAGTAATATTAGTAGTCGTAATAGTAGTAAATGTGGTATTAGTAATAGTAGTAATAGTAGTATTAGCAGTAGTAGTGTTATTAATAGTAGTAATAATAGTAGTTGTAGTTGTTGTAGCATTAGTATTTAGTATACTAGCAGTAGTAGTAGTTGTAGTAGAATTTGTAGAATTTGTAGTAGTAATAGTGTTAGTAGTAGAAATAGTAATAGTTGTAGTAGCAGTAGTAGTAGTAGTAATAATAGTTATAATAGTAGTTGTAGTAGTAAAATTCGAAGTATTGTTAGTGGTAGTAATAGCTGTAATAATGGTAATAGTAGTTGTTATAGTAGTATTTTTAGTAGTTATAGTAAAAGTAGTATTAGTAGTAGTAGTTGTAGTAGTTGTATTTGTAGTAATAGTAGTAGTAGTATCAGTAGTTGTGGTAGAAGTAATAATTGTAATGATAATTATTGGTACAAACGAAAATAAACGTGGTATTTACATAATGCAACTGACTTGTTGCAATTGATTCCGAAACGATTTAAAGCGACCTGTACCTTTTATATACGTTAAATTGTAAAAGTTCCAAGAAAAAAAAAAGAATTTAAAACTTGGTTGTATCATTTTATTTGTAAAATTTTTACTATTTATTTTTTTCTTTGTTAAAATATATTGATAAGCATAGACATAGATACAGATATCGATTCAAAGTCCACAAGTATCATTTAAATAAATGAACATAACGAAGTTACTAGTTGTATAAGTAGTAGTAGTAGTAGTAGTAGTAATAGTAGTAGTAGTAGTAGTAGTAATAATAGTAGTAGTAGTAGTAGTATAAGTAAAGTGAACGGAGATCGTGACGAAAACATTTATAGTATTCCCTTAAAGGCCAAAAGAAGAAGTAGAAAAAATAACTTTTTGAATGTTTTGAATGATTATTATAGGTACAAACGGAAATAAAGTGACTTGTACCTTATGTATACGTTAAATTGTCAAATTTCCAAGAAAAAAAAAAAATCCAAAACTTGGTTGTATCATTTTTTTTTTAAATGATTATAAATCAATATGTTTTTCCGAAAGAAAAATAATGAATAGCATAGACATAGATACAAATCTCAATTCTAAATTCACAGTTATCATTAAAATGAATGAATATAACAAAGTTACTAGTAATATTAGTAGTCGTAATAATAGTAAATGTGGTATTAGTAGTAGTAGTAATAGTAGTATTAGCAGTAGTAGTGTTATTAATAGTAGTAATAATAGTAGTTGTAGTTGTTGTAGCATTAGTATTTATAGTAGTGTTAGTTGTAGTAGTAGTAGTAGTAGTAGTATTAATAAAGTGAACGGAGATCGTGTCGAAAATCCTTAGACTACTCCCTTAAAGGCCAATAGAAGAAGTGGAAAAAATAACTTTTAGAATGTTTTGAATGATAATTATTGGTACAAACGAAAATAAATGTAGTATTTACATCATGCAACTGACCTGTTGCAATCAGCATGACAATTGACTCCGAAACGATTTAAAGCGACCCGTACTATTTGTATACGTTAAATTGTCAAAGTTCCAAGAAAAAAAAACATCCAAAACTTGGTTGTATCATTTTTTTGTAAAATGTTTAATCAATATGTTTTGACGAAAGAAAAATCATAAATAGTACAGACATAGATCTCAATTCAAAATCCACAAATCTCATTTAAATAAATAAATGTAACCAAGTTGCTAGTAATATTAGTAGTAGTAGTAGTAGTAGTATTGGGAGTAGTAGTATTAGTAGTCATAGTAGTATTAGTAGTAGAAGTAGTAATAGTAGTAGTTGTAGTAGGATTAGAAGTTATAGTAGTAGTAGTTGTAGTAGTAGAAGAAGTAGTAGTAGTAGTATTAGTAAAGTGAACGGAGATCGTGACGAAAACACTTGGTTGTATCATTTTTTTGTAAAATGTTTACTTTTTATTATTTTTCTTTCGTTTAAATATATTGATAAGCATAGACATAGATACAGATATCAATTCAAAATCCACAAGTATCATTTAAATAAATGAATATAACGAAGTTAATATTCGTATTAGTAATAGTAGTAGTAGTAATAGTTGTAGTAGTATAAGTAGTAGTAATAGTAGTAATAATAGTTGTAGTATTAGTAGAATTTGTAGTATTGTTAGTGGTAGTAGTAGTTGTAATAATAGTAGTAGTAGTAGTAATAGTATTAGTTGTTGAAGTAGTATAAATAGTAGTAATAATAGTAAGAATAGTTGTAGTATTAGTAGAATTTGTTTTATTGTTAGTGGTAGTAATAGTTGTAATAATAGTAGTAGTAGTAGTTGTAGTAGTATAACATGGGGTACCGTCCGATGTCTTGTGGGCCGGGAGTCCGATATCTAATATCCCACCGTCGGCTCGCGGGGCTGCTGTGCACGTTTACGGAACTTCTATACTATTACATTATAATACATGTTTGTATATACACTCTTTGCCTGCCACGGAAACGACCATGACGACGACGACGATGATCGCAGTTCGAAAGTTTTTGAAAGTTCGCCCGTCCGGGTGGCTACCGACGCCGACGCCGCGATCACTTGTTGCGCGTATTATGCCACGCCGCCGATGGAGAAATCTCCGTAATATCACGTAATTACTATACGATGACACGGCTAATACGAATACGTCTTACTATAACCGACGAACAGTTTCCCGAGAGAAAAACACCGCCTGACGATTATCGAAAGTTTTGAGTACGTCGATACGCGACGTTACGAACAAAACAAGCGCCGTCGGACAGTAATAAATTCCGTGCCTTTTGAGGTAAACGGATCACGGAGCTGACGAAATGAGTGACCTAAAATGAAAAGGACGTCCTGGGATAATGGAGACGAGTGCAGCCGCCGTTATAGATAATTTAATGTATGCGCGTAAGCGACGATAAACCATTGCTTATGGAGCGGAGTTCAGTGTCGATAATGATGCTTCTTCAACAATATATATATATATATATATATGTAATTTTATAGTAAACTAATTAAATAGACTTAATATGTTGTATTTAATAATATTTGTTTAATGTTGTACCGATTTTCTCAATTTCCATACGTTATTCCTGGTTTTCCCGTGGTTTATCCCGGTTTTTCACATTTGCTGGGAAAACTCCTGAGAAAATCGAAAATTGACCTCCTTAAAGTACCTCCCCTCACCGATTTCCCTTCAGAAAAGGTGCTACACTTAGAAATCCGAGCAATTCTTCTGGTAGAAAAGTTGTTAATAAATAAATAAAAAAAAAATAAACATCTTTGTAAAACCATAGCTTCTTCACTCCACTCAGATTCTAAAACGAAGTATTTTTACAAAGAATCACCGATTTAATTTTTTTTTTCCACCTAAATTTCACCCAAATTCATTAAATTTCCGCAGTCTAAAATTCTTCCAACGACTTATGATTTGTAAAAACGTAATATTTATATATTATCATACATTATGTGTTATTATATTTCTGAACATTCAGACACCTACGACGTACCCACTCGGTTTTTGTGAATCGCGTGATTCAAATATACCTCCTTCGCGCCGCCACTAATTCCGACTGAAAATGAATGAACCTCGAGCCACTTGTAGTGGTACCAATACGTCGGACGAATACGCAATACAAACTTATCGTCGTTTTATCGTGGCTAAATAACTGTTCAGCTACGAACTGCCCATATTTTATATAATAATGTAATCAACGTTTCATGGACGTTTCAACTGTCAGCGATTTTTATCGCCGGATTTCCGCGGTAGTCACGGTGGATTTATACGAATTACAAAACCCTACTATAAGGAGACTAATGAGTGATGAGCAAAGGAGACGAGATAAGGATAAACGAATGGATAAAACCACCTTGGTACTGCGGTTGCACGTAACCCTGCTAAAATAAATCCCTTTCGGTGACGGCCATGACATCCGCGTATCACAAACTTGCCGTCGTACGACTTATAGGCCATGGATCTAATATTGATTTTGTAACGCACGTGTCTAGCACTCGTTTACTCGATAAAAAAAAGTATGGGTACACGCGTGACTAACGAATTCCGTTGTTGATTATTTGTTTTCATAATGAATATTTGTTTTCCGAAATGTATAAAAAAAAAAAACTTATATTTTTCCAGTTAAATTACCGTTGTATGACTTTGTACAAAAATAACTGACCAAGTTTGTCAACATAATTAAGTCTAAACGAATACTGTAAAGAAGAAACCAAATCAATATTAACACAAGTACAAGACGTAGAAAATAATAAACGTATACATCACCTATAGAGGCCGATACCGCTGTTCCCGTATTTACTTACATTAGGCATAGGGTATTTTCATATCCGATATTTGAAATCGGAAACCACGAGTGAATATTGAAAGTAGCCGGTGTGGCGGTGGAAAACGGAATTTTTCAAACGATTTGTTCGTATTCCAGAGACACAATGGACGTGTAAGTATCGACTTTAGGTTTTTAAAACGAAATAGGCCGTTTCCCTCCGACTATTTCTATCGTTAAATTATTTACCGATATAATTACACATCATTATTTTATTTCGTAATACGGTATTTTACCGAGAATCAAAATTATGTCCAACGAAATTTATCGATATTTACAAATTTTACTTAGCTGGTATATATCATTCAACGTTCAACTGTATCGTTTTCGAGAACTTTTATCACCACGTGACGAATGGTTTGTGACACACGTTTGAGTGTATTTAATTCTTTATATTCGTCTCTTACACGCATACAGCTAACGTTTTACAGGATTTATCTTAATCCGGAATGTCCTGAAGAAAATGGTGATACAAGAAAACCGAATTTTTGTCATTCTATGTCGGTAAATTACATTTCAATAACTCAAGGGATGAAAATACTTTTCATTTAAAATTTACACTTTATACAAAATGTACAAAGTATTGATAATTAGCAATGTATTTTATTAAGACAATATACATATACAAAATATCTAGATCGAAATAAGAGACAGTTGCTAGAATAATTATCTAGATGAAGATAACGGCTACATAACAATTTAGTTATCTAAATAACGATAGATAATCAGGAACTTTTTATCTAGATAAAAAAAAAAAAAATAAATAATTTTGTTCATTGCCTATCATAAAACTAACTGATAAAAGTAGTAAAAATGTACGAAACCTGAAACATCTGTATTTTGTGTAATAAGGATATAAATTACGGTTTGAAAAGATTTATCTAGACGATTCAATTATTTATCTTAGATAATGGTTCAGATTATTAACTTATTTAACATGTTAATATGTTAACAAAAAGTACAATAAATAAAATATTGTACACAATTATCACATTTATCACTATTATTATCACAAATAAATCTTAAAAAACCGTAGCTCAGAGTGGCCGTATTCAACGTAAATCATGAATTATGTTTGCTGGCTTGAAGCCCGAAATTAACTCATACCCAAATGAGACGAGGAAGACGACAATGGAGGACAATGACTTCCCTATCACTGATTCACGTAGTACGTTATATCTACTCAATATACCCATTTTCTCAAGTTTTTCTGTGACCTGCTCGTCCGTGTGCGTAATCTATTAACAGTTTCCCGTGTTCGTACCGCGGACACACTGGATTTCTACGGGCGGATTTGGCATCGTGTGTCGTCCGTGTCAAATAGGTGTTTTTTACACGTTCATCGCGCGGCGCGGAGATCGATTATAGATTTCCCAACTCGAACGAAATAGTAATATTATGCATGGGTATATTATGTAGTTTATAATTTATAAAATATTATGCAGCGCCGCGCGGAAAGCACAATGGACCGTTTTGAAATATTATTCAAATTATCATATCTCGGCCGTAGCCTTTAAAATATTCATAGATTTTCTATACGGGTACCGTTTGGAAAATCGCGACGACGGGCGACGTGGCGCGGCTTGTCACGTTAATAACAATATTATAATGATTTAATTTTAATTGAATTTCCGACGCTGCGACACCTCTTAGGCAATAATAATAATGTTCTCGGTTACCGGTCGGGATATACCTACCACCTGTATTATAATACCGACAACCGCCGTCGTCTGTGTACACCCATTGTTATTATATTGTACGGGACTTATGTACCACGGGTACCCGGCGCATTCGGCGTATTGTTATTCGATTTCACGTATAATATTTTAAATGTAAAACTGTGTCCGCGCGCCCACCTCCGCGGTTACGAGACCGGCTATTTCGCGCACCCCATATATAACGGCATAGGACTCGTGACTGGCACCGATTGTTTATTATCTCCGCGTTCGATCGCCCGCGGTATTTTCGCGGTCCTTTATCGTCCGGCGACTTTGTTCCCGCGCCCGCGACCCGCTGACAAACTTCCTGTCTGCAGGAGCTATATAATATAATACGTAAGCCGGTTACTATTGTAATTGGTAGTTTATCCGAAAGCCACGAATCAGCGTGATAAAATACCTAACAGATCAGCACGGCGCGTCGTCGCCACCGCCGCCGCCGCGACCTTTAAAAGCCTTTCATATTATTACGATAATACGTACGGAGTTTACACTAATAATGGCCGGTCGTGTACACGCCCCGGAGCGAAAACCGAGGAGAAATTTTCTCGGCTCGTACTTTCCGTAGACATTTACTTATATTATAATGCACGTCCGTCCGGCGCGTTTTCCGACTCGACGGGGCGAAAACGGATCGTTTTTAATCGCCGAAAGACCGCGAGGCGCGTAGCTGTTTTAATTGAAATTCCGCGCCGCGCAACGACGATAAGACAATAAGACGCGTTAAGAATATTATTATTATCACTAAATTTCGGTATTGTATCTGTGTGTTGTGACAGCGTTTGCGGGTGCGGACGTCCGGCGCGCCGCTCGGTCTTAAATTCCCACAAAACTTTTCCGCGACCGCCCGCGCGGAAACGGTATTTTCGCAGTTTTCAGCCGGGTATGACGGTCATTGGCCGTCCGTCCGATTATTTTATATTGAAAACTTAAATCCGCGGACCTTATTCGGTAGCGCAGTTCCGAAGTGAAACGGAATTAAAATAGTTATAAAACGACGGCGGTATTACGCGAGGGGGGGGGGAGGATATTTACCGATAATAGAAAAGCGTTCTCGGGAACTAACTAAACCTAACCATACTTTCACGAAATCCATTTACGGAGACGAGACTTCCAAAATGTTTCTTTCCGACACACGTTTGTCCGTACAAATACTATAAGCACCTGCGTGTAGGATTTGAAATGTAACCCGCACTCCCTTTTTTCAAATCGTACCTTAAGCGTATAATGCCCGCTCAGTAAAAAAATAAAGTAAAACATAGTCCGATTACGTACAACCCAATAAGTATTGAGGGCGTTTATTTTTAATAACACTAATTCGAGTATTTAAAATTTCATTAAAAACGTCTTAGTGACAATAACTAAACGCGCATCTCTACGGACTCCGAAGACTTAAACTAAAGGGAACTAACAGTTTTAGATTAAATAAGAAATGAGACTTTAACCACTGGCTACACCGAGACGATGTTTGAAGTCCAAGAGCTGACGCGGCTAAATACTAATGATAGTTTGCCAAGTGTTCCGTAACGACTCATAGAACCATTAACGCGCTTAATACGAGTAGATTAGTAAAACGCTTTGGGTGTTGTTCAAACATTCTCTATTATTTACAGACATGTAAACTTATTACGCATAGACTTGTGAATGGTTATAACTAATACAGAATCTAATTCGCATTTGTAACCGTTTTATTTGTGTACTCGCCAAATGCAAATCTTAAATCACTAAAAATTAATTTAAACCATAAATCATAGGTCCATTGACATCGTCATCAAGTAATAATGAGGAGGTATATTATCAAGGTGCTATCATTGGTACTATCCGGTACTACGGGAAAACTATACGCAATTTCAAACAAAGGGTAGAAAAAAAAAATAGCCGGAAAAATACTTTGCACGATGAATGGGCCACTGTTGTAGGTGAGAAGATGG